GTCTCTTCCTTCAATATATTCGCATAGGTGCAACAATAATGGAGGAGTCCCTAACGAACTTCCTATAATAGTTTGTCAATCCTAGGAAAGACCCTAGTTCAGCTCTAGTCTTTGGTCTAGGATGCTCTGACCGGATCATTGACAGGTGGGCCAAACACCTTAATGTTGACCGGGCTCTCCTTACACCCATTCGATGGTTCCAAGAGGGTAAACCTAGATCGGCCAAGGTCACGTCCTTGCAATGGCAGATTGTGCATCGCTGTCTTCCGACACCTGCCTGGTTGATCGACCACACCTGCCTGGAACAAAAAGCGAAGGCACTCCCGTGGTGCCAAAGGTGCATAAGCGCCTTTCCATCACGCAAGCGGGAAGAGACTATAGAACACATTTTTATGCAATACCCATTGGTGTTATTTACGTGGCGATGGTGGGACCACATATGGCGCAAAATAGTGCCAAACACTCATTGGCCATGGTCCTGGCAGACCATACTAACAGGACATTGCCCAACAATGGTGGTCTCCCCCAACTTCACAAACAACCTGTACAGTCTAGGAAGGCGGTCAGTTGTCTAGGCCCTTTGGTGGCAACACTACCTCCTGGCGCTGGAAGGAGTGAAAATAGAGGGGCCTGAGCTAATAAAGTAAATCAAAGAGCTAGTCCAACTGAATTAATACGACTTCTTTACCTCAGGAATAAGCAAATTACTACAACGAACTTCAGGAACTACTTAGCAAATTACTACAACGAACTATAGGAATAAGCAAAGTTCAGAAAACGACTCAGAACCCCCCCCATCAATCCTCTTTACCTCACTCTGGCAAGACTCATTGCAGCAGAGCTACCATCTCCGCTGCTGCTGTACCCTATTTTCGTCCTACAAGCTAGCCCCCTCACTAGTAGGACGCTGGATATCCAACCATCTACTTCTCCATGCAGAGGACCCTTTTGTTTTTAGAAGAGCATTCAGATCGAGAAATACCTGGCTTAGAGCCTGTTAGTAGCCCACCCGTACCTGCCTCATCCCTATATCTCGATACTTAGTCTCTACTAGGCCTCACGCCCCCAACTGCTAGGTTACAGAGTGGCACGACCCCAAAAGACTCCCACCTGCTAGGCTATAGGGAAAAACGACCCGCCCCGGCCCCGGCCAGCATCGTCCAAGTACCAGCTTACCAAAGGACACTAGAGTGCCTTCCAACCTCGACAACGCCCCAAATCTCTCTACCAGGTCTCTTGCCCTCTCACAGCTCGAGTTACAGGGCAGCGCGACCAAGCCCCAGCACCGACCAGCGTCGTTCTGGCCTCATCCATTCGTAAGCCCATGGGGACCCAAGACTACAGCAAATACCAGACAAGCCACCAATCAGCACCATAACTGTAGATCCGGTCACTCAGCTCCTTCGGGTGCTGGTTGTAGATACCCACAAAAAATCAATCCCTCACAACCCTACTCCGGCAAGTCTTACTGCGATGAAGCGACCATCTTCACAGCTGCTGTACCCTATTTCCACCCTGCAGGTTAGCCCCATGGCCGCAGAGCGCATTATCCCCCACCATCGCAACCCCGACCCCCTGCCACCAGCGCCAACTTATAAATAATTTTTTTAATCAGAAAATTCAATCCCATTCAAGAACATATTCAGAAATAAAAAAGCTATGAAAAACAGAGAGACGAAAATCAGAAATAGAGCCACCATCAATCCAACTCGTACCCTCGCTACAGACGAGAAACCGCCGCTCAGGCTTTCAGTCCTCGTACCAGAAATCGTCAGTTCTCACACGCCCTTGCTAGGGGGTTACGAGGCAACACAAATTGCCCCAGCACCGAACTAATTGTTTTCTGACGGACAGGAAGTATCTTCCTCCCTCGATTTCTTCCTTAGCTGCAAACCCCCTACAGGGCTACAAGGTCACCGCCCCGACATCAGCTACGTTGAAAGAGGTGGTTATGCCTTCCACCCTCAGCATAACTCCAATGGCCTCAAGCTCCTCTTGGTCACAGAGCCACTGCTCCAGCACCGGCCAATGTCCCCCCACCCCGCCCTTCTAGTAGACTTATTACCCTGAGCAACCCTTCCTCTACTGCACGAGCCCACCCAAAATTCCTCCAAACCATACCTCTGACTTTCACCTTCCCATTTGAGAAAGCCAAACCACTAACAATCTGTCTCCTTCCCTCACCACAGATGAAGGACACGCTGCCCAAGCTTTCAATCCTCGTACCATAAATCATCAGATCTCATACCCCCCCTGTTAGGGTTACAAGCAACACAAACTGCCCCAGTACTGACCTAACTGTTTCTGACGGACAGAGAGTGCCTTCCCCCTCAACAACTCCCTTAACTGTATGGCCCCTCGAAAGGTTACAGGGTCACCGCCCCGGCAACAACTACGTCGGGCAAGATGGTTATGCCTTCCACCCTCGGCATAACTTCAATGGCCCCAAGCTCCAGCACCGGCCAATGTCCTCCCACCCCACCCTTCTGATAATAGACTTACCACCCTGAACCGCCGATCCCTCCTCTGAGTGAACCCCCCCACTTCCCACCTGCCTCAAATTAGGAATCTTGCGGAGAAAACACCTAAGATCTCATGAATCAGATTTTTGAAACAGTATTCACCAGTTAGCAGTAGCTGCTGCAGATCCCAAGGTTCGATCCCTAGACGCCAACCTTACCTGTGTACAGTACCTGTGTCGACCCGTAGAGTTGAACCTGCGACATGTGTATTTGCAATAGCTGATAGGTTGTCATAGGGTCCATAGGTAGCATGGGTTCGATCTGTAGACCTGTCAGATAGGAGTCTTAGTCAGGTCTAGACATCGTAGCTGTAGTGTTCTCGAAAGGTCAAGGTTGTAGCTGCTACAGCCCAGAAGGGTCAGAGTCGTAGCT